CGCATTCTCTTCAGCGCACAAATATCTCTTAATACTTCCATTCACTGTAATGATGCCACGTGGACCAGGCATCTTGAGCGTGAGGGAAGCGTAATGCGGTATTGCATTAAAGCGAGCAAAAGCTTCGCGTCCAAGTAGTGCTTGATAACCGCATTGGAACGGAGCAATGTGGAAGGTTAAATGTTCGCTACGGGAGTTATCGGGGAAGCCGAATATAACCTTTAGTAGCAGGGAGCCCGTGCAGTGAGCCCCTGGGCCTGGCGTTACTCCTTTAAAGGTAGTGTTGCTATGGTAAATTTTTGTTGGGTCTATCCCCATTTCGCGGATTGTATCCTGGTATATTAGGTTTAAGCTGATGCCACCGTCCATCAGGACTCGTGCAAAGTGGTATCCGTCAATTATTGGGTCTAATACCAGGGGAGCCCATCCTGCCCGCCGGATACTTGCTGAGTAATCACGATGGTCGAAAGTGACCGGTTGAGACGACCAGTGGCAGGGTTTCACGGTGATAGGCCCTTGGGCATATTTATCTGGGAGGGCCGCTTTGCTTCCCTTGATCACGTGTAATACGTTGACTGTTTTGACTTCTGATGGAAACTTCTTTTGTTCCCTAGTGTCTTGCTTGAGAGGCTCATCCTCATCTTCGCTTGGTGTATCCTCCCCCTTGTGTACGGCGTTGAGCTTGCCGGACTGCTTGAAGACCCAACATTCTCTGTGGGTATGATTAGTGGGTTTACCAGGGGTGCTATGGATCTGACATACCTGGTCCAGAATTTTGTTCAGGCTGGACAGTTCATCTCTGGCGCCTTTAGAGGGCGGCTTTTGTTGACCTGGCCGAGAGCTTCGGAATCCGGCATTTACCGCCGTGCTCTTCGGGCTGTCTTCTTTATTCCGACACTTATTATTTTTGCTGCGTCATGATTTCCCGTTTTCATCTCTAACTTCGGATGTGCTTGGGTCGCTGGTGCTGCATCTGGCTAGCCAGCTGTCCTCACCCGCGCAAAAGCGGGTCATGAGGCTTGTTAATGCTGCCATTGTTCTTGGCTTTTCCTGGCCGAGGTGTCTGGCAAGCCATTCGTCGCGGACGCTATGCTTAAAAGCTGCCAAGGCTTCGGCGTCCGGGCAGTCAACTATTTGGTTCTTCTTAGTAAGAAACATGTTCCAAAGCTTTCGGGCTGACTCTCCGGGCTGTTGAGTTATATGACTCAAATCGTCTGCATCCGGGGGTCAGACATAAGTCCCTTGAAAATTTGCCCGAAAAGCGTCTTCGAGCTCTTCCCAGCTTCCAATGGAGTTTTCGGGGAGGCTTTTAAGCCAGTGCCGAGCTGGCCCTTTGAGCTTGAGGGGTAAGTACTTGATGGTGTGGAGATCATCTCCTCGAGCCATATGGATACGGAGGATATAGTCCTAAATCCAGACCCCAGGGTCTGTTGTTCCGTCGTATGCCTCTATGTTTACGGGTTTGAATCCCTCTGGAAATTCATGGTCCAGCACCTCATCGGTGAAACATAGGGGGTGTGCGACACCCCTGTATCTGTGTGTACCGCGTTGTTCTGATATTTGTTGTGTTACATCATATGCTGGGGCGCGCTTGCGTGGTCCATAGATGGATCTGGTTGCGCCGTCCTTTTGGTGCGAGCCCTCGTGTGGATCGCGTATTGGCTTGTGAGTGGCGTTGTTTGCCGCTCCATGTTGGCCGTGAGGTCGTCTATCCGGCCAGGTGGCCGTTTTGATTTTTGGTTGTGGGGGATCTAGGGCCTCCTCATCGAATTCGGGTAGCAACTTCCGCTTCGGGTAGCTCTTGGTGGGGCGATTACCACCATACTTCGCTGCTGTGTTGAGTACTTTACTCCATCTGATTTGGAGTGTGTCCTGCGCAGCCTTGAGCCTTTGCTTCTGCTTTTTCAGACTCCTCGCGGTGGCAACAAGCCTTTAACTGGCATTCTGCTGCTCCGGGTGCCTGTCCGGCGTTATGTCATCCGGACTATTATCTTTGACAGAATTGGTTTGTACAGTTTGATTCTCTGTGTTGCCGTGGTCCGACAGTGGTTCGCCCTGCTCCAACGTTGGGTCTGTATGATCGTTATTTCTGCCGAGGCAGGATTTGGGGCGGCGCTTACGCCGCCGCTTTGACTGCTTCTCGAGGGGACAAGCCTTCGTTGCGTCCTTCCGTTCCTCGTTGTCGTCTTCTTTTGGTGTGTCCACCATGTATACGTCATATGATGAGGTGGACGTCCAGCGCCCTGTGGGCGGTGGTTCCTCTTCGCCTCCTGCATCGTCGTCCATACCGCCGATGTCTTCGGAGTCGAAGTCGAGCATGTCGGTTGAGTCATCGACAGTGGCTACCAAGTGGGTGGTGGGTGGGCCTCGAATTTCTTCGTCGTCCGCATCCCAGTCCTGCCGGACATAATTCGGCCAGGATTCTCCTGACAAGGAGAGAGACCTTAATGAGTTCAGTATGTCGCCAAAGGGCGAGTGCTGAAAAATATCTGCGGAGGTAAACTCCATGATCGGCGCCCAATCGGATTCGATAGGAACAGGCGCAGGCGGTTCGGAGTCCGTGGCCGGAGAAGGATTCGACAGTTTAACAACACGGCTCTCGTGCAAGGCAAGGTCGATGTTCGGCTCGATCGCCGCTGAGGGTAAGGCCTCCGTGGCGGGGTCCATCCACCCATCCGCGAAAGGCGCAACTGGCTCCGAATTGAGGGTCGTAGCGGCGTGCGATCTCCTTAAAACTGCCTGATGGGAGAGCTAAGTCATGCTCATCGTGACCGCGTGGCGCACAAGGCAGAGGCTCGAATCCGTCGAAGATAGAATCTCCACGGATATCGGCCGTGTAGTTTAAGCTTCCAAACCTGACCTGGTGGCCAGGGGCGTAACTTTCCATCTGCTCTAGATGGCCAAGCGAATTGGCCCGCAGTGCAAAGTCGCCGAGCACGAAGATCTGTCCGGGGAGAAAAGTCTCACCCTGGACCGCATCGCTATCGATGATAGTAGGAGCCATCAAGCCTAACGGCGACGACACAGAGGAACTCTCAATGAAAGCACCAATGTCGGTGTCAAAACCGGCGGATCTCGGGTAGGGGGTCCCGAACTGTGCGTCTAGGCCGGATGGTAACTGGAGACAGGGGACACAATGTTTTACCCAGGTTCGGGCCCTCTTGATGGAGGTAAAACCCTACGTCCTGCTTGATTAATATTGATGATATGGGTAGTACAAGAATAGATCTACCACGAGATCAAAGAGGCTAAACCCTGGAAGCTAGCCTGTGGTATGGTTGTATGTTGTCCTACGGACTAAAACCCTCCGGTTTATACAGACACCGGAGAGGATTAGGGTTACACAAGGTCGGTTACAAAGGAGGAGATATCCATATCCGTATTGCCTAGCTTGCCTTCCACGCCAAGTAGAGTCCTATTCGGACACGAGACGAAATCTTCAATCTTGTATCTTCATAGTCTAACAGTCTGGCCAAAGGATATAGTCCGGCTGTCCGGAGACCCCCTAATCCAGGACTCCCTCAATGGTGTTCTGTGAAGATATTCACATTGAAGACTATGACATGAGAAGACATGGCATGAAGACTATGGAGTGCGAAGACATAGTTGTTTCGTAGTTTTCTTTTCTTCTTTCTTGAGTCATAGGAACCACCACACTGTTAAGTGGGGTCCAAGTGAACAAAGTTAGAGTGACTGATGTGATGCTCAACCAGATCCTATGTCTTCGAGCGAAGACAATGAGAGCAAATCTTATCCAGAGCTGGATAAGTCAGCTTAACTTGTAGCCCAAGTCAAGCTGCCACGTGTGTTTGAAATTTGACCGTTGGACACGTGTCAGTTCCTTTGTGACCCAGGGTCATTTTGGACAAATCAGGTCGGGTTGTCTCCTGGCTATAAATAGCCCACCCCCTACACCATAAATTGGTGGCTGCTTAGAGTTAGTGCACGACTTTTGTCGTTTAAGAGCAACCCACCTCCGAAGCTTTTGAAAGAGAGAGATCCTTGCGAGGACAAAGCCCAAAACACCCAGAGCCAAAGGGTGTTAAGCATCACTGAAGTCTTTCTGTCTGCGTGACCCGAAGACTTGTTAACTTGAGGACTGTGAATCCTCCAGCCAGTTAGGCGTCGCGTTCTGAGCGTCCAAGAGTCATTCTGGATCGCCGGTGAACGAAGTCTGTGAAGGTTTGGAAGTCTACCTTGAAGACTTACCAGAGTGATTGGGCGAGGACTGTATGTCCTTAACTCAAGGGGAATAAGGTGAAGACGCAGTCTTCTGAGTTGAATCTCAGCCTCCCTAACCAGACGTACAGTTGTCACAACAACTGGAACTGGTCTACCAAATCCTTGTCTTCATCAAGCTACTGGTTCTATTCTTAACTTCCCTTTACTTTTACACTTTGTCTTCGTGAAGTCATTGCATGCCTATATGATCTGATTGACTTCACTAAGTGAAGACTCTTTACCATACTACCTAGCTGCTGATAGTTTTCGTGTTTTCACTTCATTGCTTACTTGACTATGGCTTGTCTAGTGTAGTCTACCTTCCGCTACATATCAATAGGTTCATTTCTATCGTTTGTCTTCAAAGCCCCCTTGTTTTAAAGACTTTCATAAAAATCGTTTACTCACCTCCCCCTCTAGTCGATAACTAGCACTTTCAATTATGTCTCACTCAAAATATATTTCTCGGGCTGTTTTGATGAGGTGAGGAAGGAATGTGATTAGTTTCAAGATACTAAAGGGCTTTCTATAGATTGGAGCAGAGAAGTGGGGTATTGTTGCAAAAAAGCCAAACTAACCTCACAACCATTAGATATAGATCTCATGGTTAGAAATTACACATCATCATCACCAAGACTAGGCGTTCCGGCGTGACCGGAATAAATAGGTTTGAAGGCCCACTACGCTGGTATTGGGCTCGCGGTGCGTCAGTGCAGGCTCTTGTAGCGCTGGCCATCCTCTTCCTCTTCTAGAAAAAAAAAGGTTGGATCGGTCGATCGATGCGGCGCGGCGATGTCGACGACGACGTCAGGCACCACCGCCGGATTCCCCGCGCCGACGAGATCGATGCTGCCAGGTTCCCCATGACAATCTGTTACAGCGACGACGACGAGGAGATCGATCTGAAGTCGCCGTCGGAGATCGTAGCCCTCCACGCCGCGTGCCGCGACCGCATCACCGAGTACGACCCCAAGAAGAGAGCCCGCGTTCTCACCCGCTTCTGCGGCGTCAACCTCGCCGGCTTCGACCTCGACAGAGAGTGTCAGTATCTCCTCTATTTATCAATTTACAACCATTTTAGTATAAATTTCTCCTGAAATGGTTCTCCTGATCTGGGGTGTATGTCTTTTGCCCCTGATTTTGCTTTGCTTGCAGCCAAGGTTGGCCTCGGGCCGCTGCTTGAGGATGTAACGCCGCAGCTGTGGGAGCTCCGGGCGGGGACGTCGTACAATGTCGTTTCCGTCAAGGTAATCGAATCCGATAGGGGCTACCCGGTCAGTGTGTTCGGTACCGTAGCATCGACTACAGATGCGTCTATCTGTTCGGACGCGAGAGAGAAGATCCCCAGACTGTTTTCAGACTGTTTGAATCTGTCCAACTTGTCAAGTGTGCTTTGCTTTTCATGTCCAGCTAGCTACATAGCTTGTTCAACTACGTAGACATGTTGTGACCTTCTTTATAAATTACTTGCAGGAGGATATGTTAGCATTGACAGGTCCACGTCGAGGATTAGTAGCATTTGATAATATACATTTTGAGTTCAACCTGAAGGTAAAGGGTGATCCTGATGATGAAGACTTTAGCAAAGGCGTAATTGAGTCCCGCACCCTTGACTCTGGACCCATAACTATGATGCTACCTAGTTGGCTCAGTACAGTGGAATTAGTATTTGCACCTGTTAAACATCCGGTGGCGGCTAGCCTCCAAATCAACATTCTGAACGGTCCGCCCTATGCCCCTTTCGTTGGCAAAGTATCTTCTGGGACTAGAAATGCCGAGACCCATATTATTCTATATGATGGTAGGGCAATGAGTTGCAGCGGGATATTAGTCGGAGATGATGGCTCCATTCCCTTGAGTCGTAATTTGGTGGTTATCCCTATACCTACATGGGACGATGATGAAGAGTTTTTGGTCCATGTTTGTATTTTTGATAATGACGAGGATGAAGGCACTCATGTTACTCTACAGCACCCTGATGAAGAGCATGTTTGCACTCACGGTTCCTATGAGCTAAAAGTGAAGGTTACATGGACTGCCATCCTCACAAGACCGATGGGTGCCAAATATAACCCAAAGAGGAACCTCTCTTGGACCGAGCGTTATGGTTCGCTGAATTACAGTGGTTGATGATGGTGATTGTTGACCCTTGTCTGTGACGTGGGAGGACATGACCCTGTAGCCAGGTAGCAGCCTCTTCCTCTCACCTTATCAAGTTGTAAGAGTTGTGCTCACTGAATGTTTGGTATTAGAATTGTGCTTGCTGGATGTTTGGTATTAGTGATAATGGAACCAGGGGGTATATTTAATAGTCATGAGTATCTTTCTTCTTGGAGGAAAATTCCGTTATTTGCTGTAATTTGATGCGCTTGTTTGCTTCATATGCTAACATCATTCAAAGGTAACAAAAAGGGGAGGCCATCAAAAGTCTCAAGTCATACTAGTAGTATACTTGACTATAAGGAGGCTAATAAAAAGTCTCAAGTTATATTGTACTTAATTATAGAAAAGAGGCATAATTAAACATAATGCGTGAAGATTCATTCCGTCATATATCTGGCAATGCTAACCTCAGCTTCACTTCTTTTGCGAAGAACTTGCAGAAGACGCCCACTTCACTTTTTCAGGTTTGATATGGACAGTTCTCTTCAGAACTGCGAGCTTCGTCATCAGATCAGTTACCTTAATCCCGCGCCAAGGTTTGTTTTGCGCCACAGAACCTGAAACGACATCCCACTGGTTGAACAGCTCACTGTGCTCCTTGGGTACCGGACTATCCAGTTCTTCGTCAATGTTGTCAGTCACCCATGTCCTCTAGAGCGCGAAGCGGATTGCTTCGCAAATCGTTACAGTCGGGAAAGATAGGGGGCCGGATTTCAGAACCTGAAGTCCCCTCTCACTGCGGTATAGCTCTCCAAGTTTTCCCAAGCTGGCGATGCAGTGGGTAAAAGCTGGTTTACCCACGTTTATGTCGAATCCACCTATCTTGAAGTAGGAGCTAGTGAGGGGCAACTGGACGGTCCCAAGTCCAGGCCTGCTGGTATTGTACGGGAACTGATCTCCAGACGGCGGAAGTATGTCCGTACCAAATTCAGAGTAGCGATACCACACACCTGTAGTGTAAAACAAACAAACAAACAACTCTTGTAATAGCTTGACAAGAATATAATAACGTGCTTAAGAAGTGTTTCCATTTTCTTTTCTGTTTATGCTCATAGATTAATGGGTAATTTGGTAGCCGGAACCGAGCAGTGTTTGCATTTGTTGCAAAAGTTATCTTTACATACAATGTTGATGTTGTGTCTGGATATCAAAATACTATGGCATTGATGATTGTCATGCCATGTATTGTAAACTCTGAATCCATCACTCGTACATCAATTCAACATGATGTCTAGGAATTCATGTTTCTCATCTTTCAGGAAATTTATTCTCAAATCGTTCTATTTTTCCTATTGTGGGGGCTCAACGTTCTAAGATTAACAAAACTAGTCTCTATCCCGCCTCGTGTGCAAGCGATGGATTGAGAATAATAAGCAGCCAACAGTTTTGCGAGTGATGATGCGCAAATTAGGTGCATTCGCAACACACTGGGAAGCAAGCTAGCTAGCCAAGGTGCATATATTGGGAGGGAGGGAGATTCATTCAGGTAACAAAAACACCAGAGTTCTTTCCTTAAAAGAACTCCCTCTCTGTATGTGTGTGAGTGTTTGTATTTTCACCGACAGATATATTGGTAGTGACTGTATATATATACTGCTATTGGCACAAGCTTTAAGTTGAAGATGCCCATTTCCAACTGGAAAAGTGGACAGGAGCCTGTGTATTGGTCCTCTGCGTTATTTTGATTTGCCATCAACAGGAGTTGAAGAATCACCTGTCCTTGGATGAGAACTGACACTACACTAGCTCTCATAACTTATCTAGGCGGAAACATGTTATATTTACGGCAATATATTTTTTTAGACAATATTTACGGTAATATGTGATACAGCAGAGCAGAGGGTCTTTCTCGTTACCTTCCACGTAAAACGCTATGATGTAGAGATCGACCCAGCGGATCGGCAGAGTCACGACCTTGCCGCCATGTTCTGGTTCCATGCTCACCATGAATGTTCCTTGTGCTGGAGTGTACAGTGCTGTGCCATTGACCCTAGGTGGCATCTTCTCAAGCTTTGGCTGCCTCTTGATCTCATCCGTAAGCCTACTGTCGATCTCTGCTTCAATGTCCTTCATCAACTTGGGGTAGCTGGCCTTCAGGTTCCCAAGCTCGAGAGTGAACACCTTCGGTTGTGGATTCTGCACAAGAGAGAAAAATGCATAAACTTTCTGCAGCTGACAATTAGATGAGCACTAGCTAGTAACCTTACATTATAGATTCGTGTAAGTCAATGATGACAAGTTTTTTTAGGTCAAACAGTGCGGTAAAACCCACTGTCATTTTCAGCAGTATACTTCCATGCACATGCACAAGTTCCACGGGGAAAAGAAAGAAACAGAAAGAAACGAATGAACGAAAAAGAAAGACAGAAGATGAACAAACATTGCGCGCGGTGTATCCAACTTTATATACAAAAAATAAAACGAAATGATAAACACCTAGCCATGAATGATCTAAAGGTCTATTATATTACCCATAGTTTAATTTGAGCAGCATACTTCCTCTTTATAAACCGAGAAAAGAAAAACGTCAAGGCCGCGTTGGCAGCGGCTCGATCGGAGCACGCCGAGGCCACTGCCGCCGCCGTTCACCGGTGACACCACCGCCAAACGACAGCGCCGCCTCCTACTGCGTCGGCTCCACCACCCTGGCCCGCCACCTACGCGCTACGCCTAAGCGTCCGCCTCCGCCACCATGGGTGCCCGCGCGCCGCCGAGCTTCGGGCCAACGCTGCCCCCACGTCCGCGCCGCCGCCGGAGCACCTCCACGCGCCGCCATCAAAGCACCTTCCCGCGCTGCCGTCCCGACGCCACTGCAGCCGGATCCCGCGTCCGTCGCGGCCTCGCTGCGCCACAGGGGGGAGGGCCAAGAAACAGGACCATGGTGTCTAGCTACCGGCCCCCGGTGCGAGCACTGCCACACGGCTGGAGCTTCAACCGGCCTTCGAGTTGAGGCGACGAGACGGCCACGGGCCACGGCCGATGGTGGTCGTCGTCACTCGTCCGTCGATGGCGTCTCTTGTCATGGTGGCATCTAAGCTCGCTGCTGTTCCTAACTTCCTATTGGTCCACGGTGTTGTGTACGTGGCCGTCGGCCGCCGGCCGGCCTTGGAGTTATGGAGTTCCCGCCGCCAACGACATAGCGCAAAGCGCATGGGAGAGAGAGAGACTCCCCGATCGAACCAAGCGAGAAATAAGACGAACCAAGCGCACCCTAGACTCCACTTACAGAGATTCCAAACGGGGCCTTATACCAAACCACATGAACACTTTTGTAGCAGCATGCAGCAGCAGCAGCAGACTAGTAGTAGTATAGTAGTAGTAGCATACAGCGGCATGATGTTTGATCCTGGTTGGATCGGTAGTACGTGCCTAGTTACATGCATGCTGATGATTATGAAAATCTTCTGTTTCGACATGGTACAAAAAGAGGATCACTTCTTGTTCTTCACAGAGACACAATTACTACCCCGGCAGTTGCACAACAAAAAGAAAGATTGATTCACTCGCAACTACGTACGTGAAGGCCATATGATTGCACAACAACATGCATGATAGATACGCAAGGTGATCACCTCAGCAGGCGCCACGGACTTGCATTTGCCTCTGTTCATCGCGGCTGCCGGAAGAAGGAGAAGGAGAAGAAAAAGAAGAGGAGGAAGAAGAAGATGAAGGAGGAGGAGGAAGTACTGGTGGTTACTTTAGCTAGCAGCAGGAGTGGTTACTTTGCTAGGGACGGCAACTGAGCTCAGCTAGGGCTCTGCAGGAATGGCACATATACAGCAGAGAGGGTTGGAACCAGACGCACGTACGCGTCTCCGGCCCGGCGACGATCGATCGAGCGAGCAGCTCTTTCTTTTGAGATGCATGCATGCACGCATCATGTGCCATGTGGCGCAGGAGAATCGATATGCATCATTGCCTACTAGCTTTGGAACCTATAGGTATCTCTATATATGGTACTGTGGCGAGGACTATTTGCACTGCATGGCAGTGTCACATCGAGGGCGTGGTGCACAAAATTCAAAACAGTGACGCGTGCATGCATGATTAGCTCCATGGATCGTCCACATTTTTACACGCACCATGGATAACTTGGTGATTATCTACACGTAAAATTGATTAAGGATAGGCTGATTAGATTTTTTTTAACTTTCTGTACGTTAACTTGGTGAGTGTCGGTCCGTCGGAGCTAGAGAGACCGAGCTGAATGCACATGCTGATAGTGATCGTTCCGTTTTCCCTTCACGCGGCCTCTGCCGCCGTACTGACATGCGTGATCAGTAGAGGATGCAATGCATGCAACTGCTTTTGCTTTTGCTATTTCCTTCTCCGTAAATAGACGATTCTCTCTTTTCGTTTCTACACGATCTTGCTCCGTTCGCCGAGCTATATATTCCCTAGTTTTGCAAATAAATCGATTCTCTTTGATTTGATTGTTTTTATCTACTTCCTTTGTCAATCGTAAGTTCGTAACCACCAAGATCCATCTGGGTTCAACGACTTTCTGCCTCTCACGAGGGTGTAGAGAAGAGCCAAGGAGAAGAAAAATGAGAGTTAAGCAATGAGCGAACGATTCACACTGTACTGTGGCAAAGCAAAATACTAAAACAAACCAAAGAATGAGACATCGCTCTATATATAGCGGTGTATCCAACTCTACAAAACCGCCTACTCTGATGCATGCTTCACCTAGAAAAAGATTTAGAAGTCGCCCTATTTCTTCTCGGGACTCCTCGACCATGACTGCCATGATCGCATTTCGTTCCAACCTGATGCCATATATGTTGTCTGATCCAGGGCAACACGGGTGGCACCTACAGCCACCGCGTCACCACCCCTACCCTCGCCGTCGCCTGTCAGCCCTGCGCTGGGCAAAGCCCCGGGCGGTAGCAGACATCGGCGGGGCGGTCCTCCCTCTCCTCTCTCCTCTCCCATCCCTCCCCATCCAGGTGCTAACCCTAGCAGCC